TGCAGAGTAAGCACTTAATAAATGTTATTGATTGACTGACTGACATCCCTTCCCCCTCTAAAGACCTCACCACAACAGACAACATCTTACATTCATTCTCTCACTGGATCATATCTTATGTACCAGGACAGGCGGCATGTGAATACAGGGCTGGCCTCGGAGGCAATGAGATCTGGGCTCAAGTCTCATTTCTAACACATCCTGGCTGGGTCACCTTGGTCTAGCTAGCTCACACCTCAAACCCCCAGGATGAAAACACAGGCTTAGCTAATAAATAGGTAGGTAGATAGATAAATAGATAGATAGATAGATGGACAGGATGATAAACAGAAATAGATAGAATAGATAGGATACAAAATAGATAGCTAGGATAGATCGATAAAGATAGAGTAGATGGATAGATACAGAGATATATAGAGTAGATAGAGAAAGATAGAGTAGATGGGATAGAGATAGCTAGAATAGATAAGATAGATAGATAGAGTAGATGGGATAGAGAGAGTGTAGATAGGATAGATAGAGTAGATAGGATACAGTAGATAGGTAAAGTAGATAGGATAGATAAATAGACAGACAGATAGATAGATGATAGAAATAGATACACAGATACATAGAGTAGACAGGATAGATAGACAGATGGAGAGAGAAATGATAGAGATAGATAGATAGATAGATACACACATATAGACATACAGTAGATAGGGTAGATAAGTAGATGAGCAAACAAGTAATTAAATAATTAAATGGATGAACTACTAAACATATTACACATGTGCGTGTGCGTATACACCGCCCCACCCCCCAGGTCCTCTGACTTCAAATCCAAAACTCTTTCCACTCTGGCCCATGGCCCTCTTTGCAATGCCTACATCGCAGAGATTATTAGGAGAAAAAAGTACTTCTTTTGTTAGCCTGCAAACACTCAAAAATTGTCATGGTTATAAAATTATAAATAAAAGGTTGTTATAAAGCCTTCAAGTACTATTAACCCCAAACTGGGTCTCTTTCTCTTCCTCCATAATCCCAAGGCACATTGTCTCTGCAAACATGGGCTTTAAAGACCCTCAGATGAAAGATTACCAAAGTGAGGGAGGGAGGAAAACAGGGGCAGAGAACGCAGAGCTGATGCCTGACATGGAGGGCAGTGCCCAGGACCCCCAGACCCAGGGCAGACAGGCTGAGCCGACAGGGCTTTCTGAGCAGGGTGGCAGCACCGGGCCAGGAGTGTCCCACTCTCTGCTGAACACTGCAGACTAACTCTGCAGCCTCATTGCAGGGGGAGGAGGCAGCCAGGCCTGTCATTCTGCAGCAGCAGCGCCCACATGCCTGGCGCTGGCTCACTGCATCCCTTCTCTTGGTGGAAGAAAGGCAGCGGTAGTCCTTAGCCCCCATGCTGGGCCTCTCGCGGACAACTGGACTCTGGAAACTGGGAGAACAGGAACTAGACCAGCTGAGCTATGGCAGGAGACAGTGTTAGGGGCTGGGGACAGGAGTGACCTCCCAGAAACCAAGAAATAAGAGCAAATCAAGGGCTCACTAAGGACCTAATGCAGCCTGGTGACCTCTCTGCTCAAATCTGGGAACTTTCTAGGGTGCTGGGATGAGTCTATTAAGACAAAATTCAAGAGACATAAATGTAAAGTCTAACCTTTAGGTTCAAAAAATCAACCTCCCAAGGGCAGTATGGGGGAGGACTGGTTAGATGGCAATTAATCAGTCAGTCAACAAAAATTTATTAAGCACTTCCTACATGCCAGCTAGAGGCAGCTAGATGGCTCAGTGGATAGACTGCTAGGCTTGGAGTCAGGAAGACCTGAGTTCAAATCTGAACTCAGATACTTACTAGCTGGCTGACCTTGGGCAAGTCACTTAAGTCACTCTGTTTGCCTTAATCTACTGGAAGGAAATGGTAAACCATTCCAGTATCCTTCTAAGAAAACCCCACGGACTGCATGGCCCACAGGGTCACAGAAGAGTCAGACACTATTGAACATTGAATGTGCTAGACACCATACTAAATATTGGGGACACTAAGAAAGACCAAAAATCATTCCCACGTTTGACAGCATGTTAATGACTAGGTACAGGGAAGAAAGAATAGGGTAGAGATTAATTTGAAGGGGGATTAGCCCCTGGGGAGCAGAGACCAGGCCTCCTATGGAAGGTGGGATCTGAGCTGAGCCTGGAACGACAGCCAGAGAAACAGAGGCACAGGTGGGGGGGCAGATAATTTCAGCATTGGGGCACAGTTGGTGCAAAGACACAGAGATGAGAAATAGAGGGTCACGCTGGGATCTACAAGGAAGCCGGTATAACCGGATTGTAGAGTCTGAGAAGGGAGAAAGGCGTAAGAAGTCTAGGAAGATACAAAGGGGGCAGATCATAAAGAGTTTTAAATGCCAAACAGAAGATTTTGTGTTTGTTCCTAGAAATGAGAGGGTGCAGGGGTGGGTCACTGAGCATGGAGGTGGCCGGGAAGTCCCGGGTTAGAATGGGGAGAGATCTGGAGCAGGTAGAGTGGCCTTCTAACAGAGGATGACAGTGATCTCGGCGAGAGGTGACGGGGCACTGAATCAAGGCTGAGTGGCCAGAAGAGGACGTGGACAAGGGCTGCCGGGAAGGTAGCATCAAACCAGACGTGGGAGGGGGGATAGTGAGAGAGAGGAGTGGGCGATAACCCCCTGGACGCAAGCCTGGGTGACCAGCGGGCTGGTGGTGTCAGTAATGGGGAAATTAGGAGGAGGGGAGGGTTTAGGAGAAAAGATAAGGACGTTTCATTTTGGCCTCATTGAGTTTCGGGTATCTACAGGACACCTAGTTAGATATGTCCAGGAGGAAACTAGAGGTCAGGAGAAAGGTCAGGGCTGAATGAATAGACCTGGGAATTTTGTGCACAGAGATGACAGATGAATCTGTGAGAAATTACCGAGTGAATTAGTATAGAAGGAGAAGAGAAGAGGGCCCAGGACAGAGCCTGAAAAAGATCTGGGAGTTTCAGTGGCCTGCAAGCTCTGTATGAGCCTGAAGTGTTGAAGCAGCAGCTGAAAAAAGATATCTCAGTTTTGGACTGCATTGAGGGAGGGAGAGAATAAGCATTTGTTAAGTGCCTACAATGTGTCAGGCAGTGTGCTAAGTGTTTTATAATTACTATCTCATCTGATCCTCTCAACAACCCTCGGAGGTGGGTGCTGTTAACATCCTCACTTCGCAGCTGAGGAAATGGAGGCAGAGATTAAGTGACTTGCCCAGGGTCACACAGCTAATAAATGAAGCTAGATTTGAACTCAGGGGTTCCAAGGTCTTGGGCAACTAGCACTGGGTCTGGAATCAGGAAGACTCATCTTCAGCACTTCCTAGATATGTGACCCTGGACAAGTCACTTAATCCTGTTTGTCTCAGTTTCCTCATCTGCAAAATGAGCTGGAGAAAGAAATGGCAAACCACTCCAGTATCTTTGCCAAGAAAACCCCAAAATGGGGTCACAAGCTATCAGGCACGGCTGAAATGACTCAACAATTCTAGTGCACTGACCACTGTGCTGCCCAGTTACCTGAGAGACATGGTAGCTTCCAGGAAGAGGGAGATGATCATCCCTCATCTGAAGTGTTGTGTACAGTGCTGAATGGCACATTTTAGGGAGGACAGTGATAAGATGGAGAATTTCCAGAGCAAGGTAACCAAGAGGGCGGAGTACCACGGGTCCAGGCCATAGGAGGACTGGTTGAAAGGAACTGGAGATTTTGAGCCAGGAAATAAAAAAGCTCAGGGGAGACATGTTAGTTGTGTATTTATTTAGCTTGGCTTAGACTCCAGGAACACCACTCCTCACCCCTAACTCTCCAGCCCCAGCTGACCACCTGGAATCTCAGCACCACCCAGACTGACTCAGGTTGGGGATACTCAGCACATTCTTAACAGTGCCTCCCCGCCTCGGGCTGGAGGGAGGAGCACCCGTCCCGCCCTGCTAACGCCCTCACTTACAGAGAGCTTCCAGCCTTCTGGCTAACAGGGCGCTACCCCCTGTCTCCCCCACCCTTTTGAGCTTCCTTTTGTGTACTTGTCTTCCCCTTAGATTGTAAGCTCCTTGAGGGCAGGGACTATCTCTTTTTCTTATTTGTATATCTAGCTCTTAGCACAGTGCCTGGCACATAGTAGGCACTTTATAAATGTTTGCTGAGTTGAATTATCTGTATTGCCAGTGCCTAGCACACTGCCTGGCACACAGTAGGCACTTAATGTTTGTTGAGTTGAACTGAATTGTTTGTATCCCCAGCACTTAGCATACTGCCTGGCACATAGCGATAAATGAATGCTGACTGAATTGAATTGAAGGGTTGGTCTGTGGAAGAGGGATCAGTCTTGTTCTTCTACTTACCTCAGGAGAACAGAACCAGGCATGACAGGAGCAGCGGCAAAGATGCCAGTTTGGGCTTGGCATCAGGACAGACTTCCTAACAGTCACAGCCGTCCAAAGCAGAACGGTCTGCCTGACTCACTGGAGGTTGAGCGTATGGCAGAAGATTATAGCAGATTACTGGATGGCCTCTGAGCCCTTCAGCAACATAAAATTCAGAGATTCTCTGGTTCAAAGTGGGAAGAGGAAGAGCTGGGATTCAACCCAGGTCGACCTATTTGACTCCAAACTTAGCAGTCTTTCCCCCATACTTCATGTCTTCCCATGAAACATCGAGAGATGCCTGCTTTTTCCCCAGCACTCTCAGGGGGCCTCCTTCTAAGTGTTTGGACATCCATGGATACCAGCTTCTGGCTGCCAGCTTTTGATTGCCGACAGATTGAAATGACAAGAAACTAGCCAAGGGAAGACCCAAAGGACCTGCCCAGCCTGTAGTATCTTGGCAAAGTCAACCATCCAGGCTCCTGGTTCCCACGCACCACCAGCCAGAGACTTGAGTTAAGGGGGAGAGCCAGAGGCGGGGGAGAGCCAGTGAATGTCGCCCTCTCCACTCCTTCCTCCCTCTCTCCATCCATCACTCACTCACCCTCTGCATCCACCGTCTCCTTCATGACAATCTCTACCCTGTCCACATGGTGCCGGTTCCAAAGTCGGTCCAGGGCTTTCCAGTTCCGGTCTCGGAAGGGCAGGATCTGGGCCACTGCCTGTCAGGAGAGAAGAGGGACTGAGTTTGCCGCGTCCATGGAGAGCCCCCCAATCCTCCTGATTTCCTACCTGGGGACGGTCACTGGTCATTGGGACTGGATGAAGGATGGGTAGATGAACAGCACAAACCTTATGAATAATGCGACCTCATTCTTTTGGTCTCCTCTGATGGTGTCATCAGTGGAGGGAACTCCCAGTGTGGATTCTCCCTCTAGCAATGCAGATTAGTCATTTGTCATTTCTAGATCCTTGGGAGGAGGGGAGAGAGAAATTAAGGGCTCACACAACCAGCGTCAGATTAAAAGATGGGACATCAACCCTGCTTCTCAGGAACAGAGTGTTCGTCCAAGATGACCCAGGTAGCAAACAGCAGAGACGGAAGTGGAACCCAGGTTCTCCCCCTCCAGTCAGCCCCCTTTCCGAGCCCTTTCCTCTCCTTGACACCCTCCCTTTTATATTTTCCTTTCTTTTTGAGGGGGTCTAGACTTGTGATTTCAGGGCTTCCCCAGGAGGAGACTCCTTCTACCGAAAGCCCACAAGCGCTCTCTCTCATTTACTGCCTTAGTGAGTTATCTAGCACATTGAGGAGCTGAAGAGGGAGAGGAAGAAAAAAAAATATTTATTAAGCACCTACTATGTGCCAGGCACTGTGTGCTAAGCACTTTATAATTATTATCTCATTCGACCCTCACAACAACTCCAGGAGGCTGGTGCTGTTATTATCCCCATTTTACAGCTGAAGAAACTGAGCCAGACAGAAGTTAAGTGACTTGCCCAGGGTCACACAGCTGGTATCTGAGGCTGGATTTGAACTGAGGTCTTCCTGACTCCAAGCCCAGCCACCTTAATCGCTCAGAATTAGAGACAATATGTGTCAGAGGCAGTATGAGAACTGAGGTCTCCCTACCTCCAAGGCCAGCTCCCTATCTCTAGTGTGGTGAAGAATGCTAGGTGGCCTCTCATGTCTCGGTTTCCTCATCTGTAAAATGAGAAGGATGAATAGGTAACCTCTAATGTCTCTTACGATACTTCCTACCAGGCACTGCGCTTGGCCCTGAGGATGCAAAGAAAAAAAATCCCTGTTCTTAAGGATGTATTATAAGATATGTGTATATACATAATATATACATATATGCATATTATATTTCATATACAACACATTTTGTTGTTCAGATGTTTCAGTCATGTCTGGCTCTCTGTGACCTCATTTGGGGTTTTCTTGGCAAAGATACCGGAGTGGTTTGCCATTTCCTTCTCCAGTTCATTTTAAAGATGAGGAAACAGGCAGATAAGGTGAAGTGACTTGCCCAGGGTCACATAGCTAGTAAGTGTCTGAGGCCAGATTTGAACTCAGGTCTTCCTGACTCCTGGCCTGGTGCTATATCCACTGTACCACCTAGCTGCCCATATAATACATATATTATATATGTATGTATACATATATAATACATATATCAATTATATTACATATATAATACATGTGTTTTACATAATACATATATGTATGTAACACATATATATGATAAATGTATCTATTATACTACATATGCCATCTATGTGTATTATACATTTATTATATATTATACTTACATCACATGTAAATACAAATATCTACATATTTGTATTTTAACATTTATTCTGAATACCAAATTCTCTCCTTCTGTCCCTCCCACCTCTCCCCTCAACCAATGAGAAGGCAAACAATATGTATCACACAGTTTTAAAGGTTGGAGTACTGGAAGGGTGAAGACACCCTGACCCAAACCAGCTCTGCCTGGGTATGAAGCCAGTGGCCAAGCATCCCAACCAGGAAAACTCTAACCCCTGCAGGCCACCCTCCGTCTCTCACCTGCTTGCCAAGGTAGTGGTCTACACGATACATCTCCTCCTCTCGGAAGAAGCTTCCAAGCTCCTTGGAGAGCTCCTGGGCCGAGCGGCGGTCATGCCCAAAGGGCTTCTCGAGGACCACACGCAGCCAGGCTCCTGGGCCCGGCCGGCAGCTGCTGTTGATATGCTGAGCAATCTCTGCATAGGCGAAGGCAGGGACGGAAAAGTAGAAGATCCTCCCAGACTCCTGAAGCCCCTCCTGCTGGAGCCGGGCCTCAATGTCCTTGCTGAGGGTCACGTAGTCCTCGGCCGTCCACAGCTGCCGGTACTGGCTCAGCTGCAGAAACTGCCCTTTGAGCTGGGCACAGCGCTCGGGCAGCATGTCCGAGGGGCAGGAGAGCTTCTCCAGGGCCTGGGCCATCAGCAGCTGCCCCTGCTCGGGCCGCGTCAGGGCCGCCCCGTGGAAGCTGAAGCTGTGGCCGTCGCCCGCCTCGTCCAGGTACAGCTGGAACAGTCCCTGCCAGAGGTACTTTTTGGCCAGGTCCCCCGTGGCTCCCAGGAGGATGATGGAGACGTGGCCTCGGGGCTCCTGGGCTAAGATAGACCCCAGGATGGTGGCGGCACAGATGACAATCCTCAGCATTGTGAGCCCTAGGGACCAAGGGGACATGGGAGGACATTAAACAAGAAAAGATCAGATGTGGGGCTCGAGAGCTGCTGACGTGAGAGGTCCCAGCATCTCCTGCCTGCTGGAAAACATCTAGGCGTCGTTTATAACCACTTTACTACGTGGGAAATACCTTAGACTTTGGCCGCCTGGGTGCTGACCAGGGAGGCCTTCATCAGCAAAGATCTTCCGCAGCCCACCCTGGGGCAAAGCTCGAGTCTGCGGGGGGCAGAGGTGGCCACTGCAGGGACCACAGGCTGGGGCTGCCCCTGGTGGAGACTGTGCCAGGCAAGAGGGAGAGGCAGGCAGCAGCAGCGGGCCATGGGGGTCTAAGGTCATCGGGGCCCAAACCCCTCATTGCACACAGGAGGAAACAGGCCCCGCAGTGCAGTCACTTGTTCCAGGTACATAAGAGCAGAGACAGAATTCACCCCAAATCCAGATTCCAAAGGCAGGGCTCTGCCCAGCTCCACAGTGGCCTGCATTAACTTAGGATGCACCAGATGCCAGGGCAAAAAGGCAGGAACCAGGGCAGAGAAAACTGAGGGGCCACTGAGACAAATCATGACTCAGAGGAAAGGACAATGCAGCTCTGACATTCTGTGTTCTAAGGGTTCTCCTAGCTCTGACATTTCCTGTTCTAAGGGCCCTCCCAGCTCTGACATTCTGTGTTCTAAGGGTTCTCCCAGCTCTGGCATTCTATGTCCTAAGGCTCCACTACATCTCTGACATTCCATGTCCTAAGGGTCCTCCCAGCTCTGACATTCTATGCTCTAAGGGCCCTCCCAGCTCTGACATTCTATGTTCTAAGGACACTCCCAGCCCTGACGTTCCCTGTTCTAAGGACCCTGCCAGCTCTGACATTCTGTGTTCTAAGGGTTCTCCCAGCTCTGGCATTCTGTGTCCTAAGGCTCCACTACATCTCTGACATTCCATGTTCTAAGGGCCCTCCCAGCTCTGACATTCTGTGTTCTAAGGGCCCTCCCAGCTCTGACATTCTATGTTCTAAGGCCCCTCCCAGCTCTGACATTCTGTGTTCTAGTTCTTTCCCTTTATGTTCTAGGGGTCACTCTGGCTCTCATGTTCATGATGTGGTGAAAAGAGCACAGGATTCCGAGTCAGAGGACAAAAATAAAAATGAAATAACCCTGCTCTCAAGAAGCTTCCATTCCACTGAGGTAAACAGAAGACATCCCCCAAACAAATACAGAGCATTTCAGGAAGCACTAATGACTGGGGGATGCAGGGAAGTCCTCCCACAGGAGCCAACACTTGAGTTGAGCTTTAAAGTTGGGGATCCCAAGACGCTTAAGTGAGGAGGGAGAGCCTTCCAGGCGTGGGGTACTGCCCAAGCAAAGGCCCGGAGATAAGTGATGGATGGGATGGGGGGCCGTCGGCAAGCAGAGCAGGCTGCGGCAGAGGGCAGGCTGGGCAGTGACCCGGATGGGACGAAGACCATCGAGGTCCACCCACTTCACAGATGAGCAAAGAGAGGCCCAGAGAGGAAGTCACTCCTAGACTCAGAGGCCATCTACTCCAACACCTTCACTTTACAGATGAGGAAACTGAGTCCCAAGGAGGTTTAATGGACTTGACCAAGTTCATACAACCCCCCCCGGATGCGAATCCTCCACAGCCAAGGACTCACCAAATCTTGTTTTTTCTATCCTTACCTCTCTTGAATCATTCCCTCTCTCCACTGAATTGACTACCAAATTAGTACCACCTAGCTTCCCCTTAGCACGGATAGGGATGTACAGAACATGACAAAGCAGAGAAGGAAGCTTGGCAGCCAGGCGGCACAGTGCACAGAGTGCTGGGGCTGGAGTCAGGAAGACCTGAGTTCCAAGTCCAGCCTCAGACACTTACTAGCTGAGTGACCCTGGACAAGTCACTTAACCTTGTTGGCCTCAGTTTTCTCATCTGTAAAATGAGCCAGAGAAGGAAATGAAAAACCACTCCAGTATCTTTGCCAAGAAAACCCCCAATGGGGTCACAGAGAGTCAGACAGGACTGAAAAACAACTGAAATCTCCCCCTGAATCCATAGAACAAATTGTCTCCCCTATTAGAATGTAAGTTCCTTGAGGGGAGAGACTGTTTTGCTTGTCTTTGTATTGTCTAGAGCCTAGCACGGCAAGTAGTATACAATAAGTGCTTAATAAATGCTTGAACAAAGGAATGAAAGTATCCCTAGCACTTAGCATAGAGTAAATGGCCTGGCACAGAGCAGATACTTACTAAATCCCTGTCAAAGGAAAGCATGAAATGCATTCTCCACACTTAGCACAGTGCCTGGCATCTAATAGGTGCTTAATAAATGCTTGTCACAGGAAAGCATGAGGGGCAGCTAGGTGGACACTTAACTAGCTGTGTGACCCTGGGCAAGTCACTTAACCACAACTGCCTAAAAAGAAAGAAAAAAAAAGGAAAGCATGAAAGGCATCAACACTTAGCACAGTGCCTGGCATCTAGTAGGTGCTTAATAAATGCTTCTTGACTGACTCCAAATTCCAAGCTCCCCTGTATCTCATTCTTAGTGACCCCATGATAGCTTTACCCTTTTCAAGTACTAGGTCTTTTTGATTTAAAGTCTACATTCATTTTAAAGTGTATGTTGCAGGGAGCAAGGGTTGCAGAGAGGGGGGAAGACCTCAGTAGCTGAGGGGGGAGGGAGGGCATGTTCAAGGGTGAAAACCAGATGGAGTCCAGAACTGTATCAGACCGGGAAGGGAAGTCACAGCTTCTCCAAGCTGGCACTGTTGGCTATTTCACACAGATCTTTAGCACTAGTAGGAATCTTAAAGGTCAGAGAATGTCAGAGCTGGGAGGGCCTTAGAACCCAAACTGTCAAAGAGCTTAGAACGTCAGAGCTAGGAGGGCCCTTAAAACAGAGAATGTCAGAGCTGAGAGGGACATTAGAATGGACAATGTCAGAGCTGGGATGGGCCTTAGAACCCAAGCTGTCAAAGAGCTAGGGGCTCCCTTAGGACATAGAACGTCAGAGTTGGGAGGACCTTGCCAAAGAGATCATCACATCTAGCCCCTTCATCATGGATAGGAGGACACCAAAGTCCAAAGTGGGGCAATGATTTTGCCCAGCTCTGACATCGTGTGTTCTAAGGGCCCTCCCAGCTCTGACATCCTGTGTTCTGAGGCCCCGCCCACCTCTGACATTCCTTGTTTTAAGGGTCCTCCCAGCTCTGACATTCTGTATTCTAAGGGCCCTCCCAGCTCTGATATTCTGTGTTCTAAGGCCCCTCCCAGCTCTGACATCCTCTGTTCTAAGGCCCCTCCCAGCTCTGACATTCTGTGCTCTAAGGCCCCTTCCAACTCTGACATCCTGTGCTCTAAGGCCCCTTCCAACTGTGACATCCTGTGTTCTAAGGGCCCTCCAAGCTCTGTCATTGTGTTCTAAGGGCCCTGCCAGCTCTGACATTCTGTGTTCTGAGGGCCCTGTCAGCACTGGCATTCTGTGTTCTAAGGGCCCTCCCAGCTCTGTCATTCTGTGTTCTAAGGGCCCTGAAAGCTCTGACATCCTGTGTTCTAAGGCCCCTTGCAGCTCTTCATTCTGTGTTCTAAGGCCTCTCCCAGCTCTGTCACTCCATATTCAAAGGGTCCTTCCAGCTCTGATATTCTCTGTTCTAAGGCCTCTCCCAGCTCCGAAGTCCCTGATCTCTATAAAAAGGCTGTGACTATGGGCCCTCTGGTCACTGGTAGAGCCCTACAGTCCTGTAGCCCAGGTCTCCTGATTCCCAGACACAGGAAACTGAGGCCCAGAGAGATGACTTATCCAAGGTCACATAGGTAATAAACAGCAGGGCTAAGATTCAAACCCAGGTCCACTAACTCCAAATTCCTCCCAGTCCCCACAGTACCCCTCTATCTCTTGAGCAAGGATTCCCCCTGAAATATCTTTGAGAAGTCATTGGAAATGAATTAAAGAAAGGGAGACCTAGAAATACTGGCTAGAACCTCCATCCTTTCTTTCCTGAGGTGGGGGGCTATGAGTGTGGAATACAGCATGTTTTGTCTATTTTGGTTGGTTTCAATCAATAAACATTTATTAAGTACCTACTATGTGCCAGGCACTGTGCTAAGTGCTGGGGATACAGAGAAAAGCAAAAGACAGTGCCTACCTTCAAGGAGTTCCCGCTCTAATGGAGAAAATTATGTATAAATAAGATACATACAAAATTAACGAGATACTGAACAGAGGGAATGCACTAACATCAAGGGGGACCAGGAAAGGCTTCCTGGAGAAGATGGGATCTTAGCTGGGAGGTGGAGCTGAGGAATGAGAACATTCCAGGCATGGGGGACTGCAGGAGCAAATGCCTGGTGATGGGAGATGGAGGTGGGCCAGCCAGAGAGAATGCCTGGAGCTGGAGACAGAAGGTCTTGGGGATGTCTTGTTCTGGGAACACCAAGGAGGCCAGTGTCACTGTACTGAAGAGTATGTGGGGGAGTGGTCATTCTGCTGAGTTATTCCTTTTTTTGTTGTTTTTGTTGTTTTTTTGAGGCAATTGAGGTTAAGTGACTTGCCCAGGGTCACACAGCTAATAAGGTCTGAGGCTGGATTTGAGCTTCAGTCCTCCTGACTTGAGTGCCAATGCTCTATCCATTTCTCCACCCAGCTGTCCCTGAGTTATTCTTTAGTGTAAGTGATGTGATCTGGCCTTGAAGCCAAGAAGACCCAAGTTCAAATTCTGCCAGCTAAATAATCCTGTTCACTTAACTTCCCAATCCTCTTAGGCAACTCTCTTAAGATCATAATTTGCCCTAGAAGATGCTGACCCTCACTGGTGGAGGGATTTTCCTCATTCAGGAGCCCCTTCTATCCATGAAATCACACATACAGTGACTAGCCCATAAGAGATGGCTGCGGGGAGGCAGAGGGCTAAATTGGAAAATGCAGGTGAGATTAAAACTAAAGATATCTCAATAAAAGGAAAACCCAAGCACTACCAGCTAGGGCTGGCCAG